TGGAGTCTCCTCCACCTCCATCTTGGCCATGCTCTCAAAGCGACGTCCATTACGAAACTTCTCCTTGAATGGCCCATCTCTTCCCTCCAGCTGGGCCAAAATGGACTCCTGGAGCTCCACCTGCTCCTTCAACTGCCGGATCTCCGCATCCAAGGAGCCACGATTCTGGCTGTACAGCCCACTGCGCTGCTTCTTCAGCCGCCTGCACTCCGCTCTAAGCTTATAGAGCTTGTCTCTCTCCTTGTTCACCATCCGGATGCCGGTGACCACTCTCTCCCGAATGGAGTCAGCTCCTTCACCCTCAGCAGGGCAGACAAATCGCAGGCATCTGCACCAGCAAGTATCTCGCTCCTCAGCTCAGGACATGGCTGAGAGCTCCCAGACGAAGTCCCCCCGACCTCCATGGCTACCCCAGCAAGGGGCCAGGAGGCCTGGGATAGCTGGATCAAATTCCCTGCAAAAACGGGAAACCAGAGCAAACAGGACACACACCGCTCACTGCTGCTCTCTCTCCTTGTGCAGGGTGACAGGACTCATCTCCGCCCCCTCCTGTAATAAGGACTGGTCACTGCTGCTCTCTCTCCTTGTGCAGGGTGAGTGGTCTTGTCTCCGCCCCTCCAGTAGATTTCTGCAAGCAGCCTGTAGTTGGTGGGACCTGCTGGGCCCCTCCCACAACTCTGCTCTCTGCACAGGCTATGTGCAGCACAGTGATGATATCACTCCTACTTTTGCAAGACAAAGCTGGGTTTGCAAAGTCCTTTGATGCACACAAAGTTGATTTGTACCCTTTGTGGCTATTCAGGAATATATTTTAAAGAAACATTTTTGTGCCTGGTCTTTAGCTTGGAGGAAGTCACCCCGAGCACATTATAATATCAAAGCATTGGAATAAACATCTGTGGTCACTGGTCCAATCTTCAATGCTCTCCTGTGAACACCTGTAGCACACTATCACTTCAGGGCTACAGTAAGCAATATGATAACCCCCGCCCGCTGTTTACCAAATTGAATTAGATCGATCGCTGACAGAGACAGCTGAAGTATAAAATAAATAAAGGATATAACAAAGCACAATCTGACATTTGCTGATGCCGGTTTTCTCTAATCCCCAACACAGCTCAGGATGCAGTATTCATTATACCAGAGAGCCAAATAAATTGTATCTGTAAACTGTGATCTCTCAATGGAACCAAGATGGTTCCCCCGTATCTTGTTTTCTTTAAATGTCGTCTTTCACGTGTAATGTAGATCAGGGGTGGGCAAACTTCTGCCCTCCAGCTGTTGTGGAATTACAAATCTCATTAGACATTGCAAGATTTTCACAGCCACAGTTATCACTCCCAGAGACAGGTGCATAATTGGATAGATAGATAGATAGATAGATAGATAGATAGATAGATAGATAGATAGATAGATAAATGGATAGATAGCTATGGCTCAAGTGTTAGCACTTCTGCCATCTTTGGTTTGAATCCTGACCAGGACACTATCTGCAAGGAGTTTGCATGTTCCCCCTGTGCTTGTGTGGCTTTCCTCCGTGTGCTTCGGTTTCCTCCCACACTCCAAAGACATTCTGGTTAATTGGCTCCTCTATAAATTGGCCCTAGGTCACGGCTGGCTCCGCCCAGTTGTTATTCATTGGCCGGGACCTGCTAGAAGATAGGAAACAGTTGGGCGGAGCTTTCTGTCACTGCTAGCTCCGCCCAATTGTTTTTTGTTTTTTTTAATTTATCATTTATTTACAATTTTAAGCATTTTTTCCTACTTTTTTTTTTCTTTCAACTTTTTTCACTGATTTTCTATTCTGCTTGGTACCACAGAGGTACCGAGCAGAATAGCCGAGCCGAATGCCCTTCGGCCCCTATGTGCATAGGCCAAATGGCAGTGAGTAGCCTGCCGGAGGTTCGGCTCAGCCGATCAAGATGTGTTCTTCACTTCGGCTCAGTCGCACATGCAGAGCATGTTCAGCTGAACCGAAACCAGCCGAAGCAAGCCAATGTACGGCTAATTTCAACGGATGTACGGCTGAAATTAGCCGTACTGAGCTAAAGTGAATAGCCGAACAGCGTTCAGCTCTGTTCACTTCGGCTCGGTTATTCACTCGGCTGCTTTCTGCAGCTTTGTGAATAACCCTATAGATATTCTATACAAAACTGAAAAAAAAAAGTTTTGACTTTAGATAATGTTTAGAATTCTATTAAGTCCAGGAATTTCCTCACTAAAGTTGGTGGATTCGTTTCCTGAGATATGGGCTGTGTAACTTCCTTTCTTTCTCTGATTATTGTGTCACCAATCAGGTTTGTACTTCCAATGCTGGCTTAAATGCAATTGGTGGCTGTTAAAAAACAAAACTGATGCCCTGGACAGACAGCGGAATATAATAGGAGGCAGAACTGGTGACTACCCGGGGCTCCAGGCTTCATGTGGGCCCATGAGCATTCAGAAAAAAGTTATGCACTGTAGTGATCTTCATTGTAAGTCATTTTCAGCTTTATAAATCTTTAGAATTTGTTCAGAAGGTAATCAGCCACGGCAGCCTTCATATTGCTTTAAAAAAATTATCCTTTAGGACTGTCAAGCAATCATGCACAATACGTATGCACACTCCCTGTACCTGAAGGCTTTGTTTTATTGTTATCCACCACCATTTTATGAATAATTTGCAAAGAGAACACCACTGCAGTAGATTCAATTCAAATGTTGCATTTCATATACTGCAAAAGTTCCACCACCTCCAGCCTGAGTAAGCTTCTGTGTTGGATGTGTTGGAGTGTACCTGGGTTGTTGACATCATTGCTTCCTCCATATGACAATGTGAAAGGCTTGGTGATTGACCTCTTAGGCTCGAGCACTGTCACATGGGGGAGGCTCAAGCCTAAGAGGGGAGGCTACATGCTCCCCCCCCCCCCCCCAATCATGTTCAAGGAACAAAACAAGAGCTCTGACAGTGTGGAGACAGTGAGGAAGCATGGATGGTGAATACACCTTGCTGGAGGGAGGGTTGGCTAATAGGAAGCACTGTCACTTTGCTCTGAATTGCTTCTAAAGCAAGCAGATATTGAAGAGGACTTGTACTGAGGATACTTTGACTAAAACTGGCAAGCAAAGGGCAAAGGACTAGGCGTCAGTATTATCTGCGGTCTCACTGCAGCTGATCTTTTCCTAATTCCTGACTTATTATACCTTGTGCTACACTTTGCCTCTTTCTGGAGGCAGCCATCTTGATAGAGGCAAGGCTTTGCTTCCTAACATTAGAACCGCCCCTACATGACTAGTGATCTGATGATTGGTTATGGAAAATGTAAGAAGCTGCAGGAAAATTGCAGAAAGCACATATCCACATGAAACAGGAGAAGGAAGATCCATGCACTGGAGGTCCTTAGGTACAGCTTTTAAAGCTATTTTAATTTTCAAGTATTGGAGGGATTTCTATTGTCCGTCCCTAACAATGGCTGGATGCCTAATGTCATTCTCTAGTAATGGCGGGATGCCTAATATAATTCTCTAGTAATGGCGGGATGCCTATTGTCAGTCTTTATTATTGGCTGGATGCTAATTGTCAGTCTCTAGTATTAGCTTGACGCCTTTTGTCAGTCTCTAGTATCGTTTGGATGGCAATTGTCAGTCTCTAGTATCGTTTGGATGCCAATTGTCAGTCTCTAGTATCGGTTGGATGCCAATTGTCAGTCTCTAGTAATGGCCGGATGCATATTGTCAGTCTCTAGTATAGGTTGGATGCCAATTGTCAGTCTCTGGTATTGGCTGGATGCCTATTTGTCAGTCTCTAGTAACGGCCGGATGCCTATTGTCAGTCTCTAGTAATAGCCAGATGCCAATTGTCAGTCTCTAGTATTGTCTGGATGCCTATCAGTCTCTAGTAATGGCTGGATGCCTACTGTCTGTCTTAATTATTGGCTGGATGCCTATTATCAGTCCCTGGTATTGGCTGGATGCCAATTGTCAGTCCCTAGCAATGGCTGGATGCCTATTATCAGTCTCTAGTTTTGGTTCGATGCCAATTGTCAGTCTCTAGTAATAGCCAGATGCCAATTGTCAGTCTCTAGTACTACCTGGATGACTTTTTGTCAGTCTCTAGTAACGGCCAGATGCCTACTGTCAGTCTCTAGTAATAGCCGGATGCCAATTGTCAGTCTCTAGTACTACCTGGATGACTTTTTGTCAGTCTCTAGTAATGGCTGGATGCCTACTGTCAGTCTCTAGTAATAGCCGGATGCCAGTTGTCAGTCTCTAGTATTAGCTGGATGCCTATTTGTCAGTCTCTAGTAATAGCCAGATGCCAATTGTCAGTCTCTAGTATTGACTGGATGCCTGATATCAGTCTCTAGTAATGGCTGGATGCCTACTGTCTGTCTTTATTTTTGGCTGGATGCCTATTGTCAGTCTCTGGTATTGGCTGGATGCCTATTTGTCAGTCTCTAGTAACGGCTGGATGCCTATTGTCAGTCTCTAGTAATAGCCAGATGCCGATTGTCAGTATCCAGTATTGGCTGGGTGCCTATTGTCTGTCTTTATTATTGGCTGGATGCCTATTATCAGTCTCTGGTATTGGCTGAATGCCAATTGTCAGTACCTGGCAATGGCTGGATACCTATTGTCAGTCTATAGTATTGGTCGAATGCCAATTGTCAGTCTCTAGCAATGGTTGGATGCCTATTGTTGGTCTCTGGTATTGACTGAATGCCAATTTTCAGTCCCTAGCAATGGCTGGATGCCTATTATCAGTCCCTAGCAATCGCTGGATGCCTTTTATCAGTCCCTAGCAATGGCTGGATGCCTATTGTCAGTCTCTAGTTTTGGTTGGATGCCTATTGTCAGTCTCTAGCAAAGGCTGGATGTCTATTATCAGTCTCTAGCATCAGTTGGATGCCAATTGTAATTTTTTAGAATGTGGGGTCACATCCCTCCAGGTTTATTTTAATGAACATGGTTTTCTAACAAATACACTTACAGTTTGAGACAACCACACATTCTTCTTTTAGTTTTTTACTTATATTCATACCAAAAATTATTTATAATCCACATTTGCTTTTTCAATAAAATCACAATGTTTGAAACAATTTCCCCCCCTCACAGATAAAATAATAATAAATGACATCTATATATCAGTTTCTCTGAGTCCACAGCAGTCTGATAAATCGTACATTTGATACTCAAGTTCCGTAAAGTCATTAGAGACGGCCATTGAGATGGACTCAACTTCACTCTTGTAGGCCGCCGACATGTTGCTCTTGGTGGAGCCGCTGCGAATTTTATTAGAGAGGTTGTTCATTTTCTCTTTCAGCTGAGAAGAAGAGTTCTGAAAAGGGGAGATTAGTTTCCAGCTATTTAAATCCACACTTTTCCTCTTTGTTGTTATCCCGGGGTTACCAGGGTTATAAATATACGAGGAATTCATGGAAGTGAAGTCTGTGGTTTCACCTTCGGAACCCCTTCGTGAACTGGTCATTGATGTCCTCCACTGATGGTCATAGACTCTCCAGAGGGGGCGCCGTCTTCTGCGGCAACGGCATCTCAGCAGCCTGATAAATGCTCTCTTAAATTCCTTGCTGGAACACGGGTATATGATGGGGTTCACGCAGCTGTTAAAGTAGCCCAGCCAAAAGATCACTTTGAAGACACCTTCCGAAGGCTTCAGAAAAGGAAAGTAAGATCCTGAACAAGGAAAGAAGCAGAAAAACAAGGTTAGTATGCATGACAATTGCTTGTAATCATTTCCAATATTCTCTATTTAAAATATCTAAACCCAAACACAATCATTCTATATATTGCAGCTTAGCTGTGGCTGCATTAGTATTCTTATTTCATATTTGTTTCCTTTTATATTGGTGATTCTTCCATGGACACACCCCCTGTCCTAGGGTGACAACGCTTACTTACTATACAGAGATGCTGCATTGTCACCCTGGGACTGGAAATGCGTTAGGACTTCAAAACATCTCCCCAACTCTTTATCCTCACAACATGGAGATGTTCTGTAATTCACAAAGGTAACCTGGGTTGAAAGATACAACTGGTTGACAAAATATTGCAGAGAGCACAGGACGGAAATGGATTTCTGACAGGATCAAAGGGTATTTTTTTCCACTTATCAAAACAGATATAACAAAATCAGACCAAAAGCGAGGGAGAAAAAAACAAAAAGGAGAAGTTTATTGCTAGGATTTACATACACTTTAAAGTACTCCAGGCACGGGCGTAACTAGAAATCACAGGGCCCCATAGCAAAATTTTGTGTGGGGCCCCGTGATTGCTAGTTATGCCACTTGCAGAGCCCCAGCGGAGAGTGACCCTGCAGAGCCCACCATAGACTCTCTATAGTGAGCTCTGCAGGGTCTGAGATCTCTTACCTGTCAGCGCCTCTGTGGCCACCGTGCCCCGACTCCTGTTCCGTCCCTGGGCCCCGCCTCCTCTGCTATCGATGGGCCCGCCTTCTCTTACATCACTGGCCCCACCTGCTCTTAGGTCGCTGGCCAGTGATGTAAGAGGAGGCGGGCCCCACCTCCTCCATTCCGAACACCGCCCTCATCTGCCGCAGCGGCTGGCTGACACTGACACAGCTCCGCAGCGGCTATGAGGGGAAATGCGCCGTGGCCGCTGCTGAGCTGTGTCTGTGACAGCCAGCACCCCCACATGCCATAGCGACCCCCCTGTGGCCGGGCCCCATAGCGGCCGCCTGGGTCGCTATCTCGATTGTTACGCCACTGACTCCAGGCAAAACTTTTCTTAACCCTTGCAGTAGGGCCCACACTGCAAGGATTAACTGCTCGTTTTTGTCTAAGTGCTAAAAAAAACGTATACTCATCCGAACATCTGAGCCGGCACCCTGCTTCTCCGGTCTCTGAAACCTGTCTCATCCTACCGGCAGCATTGGAATGGTACTCAACGTCCTCACGTCTATACACTGTGTAAAGAACGTGATGATTTTTGGGACGTTAGGGCGCTGCAGAGGAAGGGGAGAGGGGCTTGCAGGATCACTCTATGAGCAAGTAAGGATGAGTATAACTTTTTTTTTTTAGTACCCAGACAAAAATGAGCAGTAGCCCCACTGCAATGGTTTATAAAAGCGTTGTCCAGAGTTCTTTTTTATTGCATATCTGCCCAGCATCCCAATTTATGCATGACTGTCCCCTCTATACTTTGTCATGACTCGTGCCTTTGTCCAGCAAAGGTATAGCTGAGGGAGCAGGGGATGTTCAAATGCATTGATAATTCAGTAAAATTGGTGGTTCAGTGGTTTTTACTTTATATAGGATCTGCAGAAATGTGAATAATCTAAAGTCTGCATGGGAGATGTTATACACAAATAAAATTCACATCACAGAACTATAAATGCTTTACAGAAACCCAATATCCACTTTCTGGTCTTTCTCAACCACCTAGAATATATATACATACTGTAACTAGCCTTTTTGAACAATGGGTCCCAGTTCAATTTATGGAGCATATATAATGGGGGAATGTATCAGAACTGGAGCAGACAAAATCTGGATCAGCTGAGCATGACAACCAATCAGCTTCTGTCTTCAGTTTGTTGAGTTAAGATTTGAAAATGAGAGAGAGAAACTGATTGGTTGCCATGCACAGCTGCTCCAGATTGTGTCTGCTCCAGTTTTGATAAATCCCCTTCAATGTATTTAGACACTACTAAGTACCAGGAGTATAGGCTGAAAAACAACACATGCACACTGGTAGCGAAACTAACCAATATGGAATCTCAGAAGATTAGGAGGGCAAGCTAAGCTCGACTTTTTAAGAAAAAAAAAATACATATATAACTTCAGATGCCTATCATAGAATATAAGATTATAAAATGTTCAATTCTGCTAATTATAGCATACATATTTTTTCAATCTACAGAGAATTATGTATTTCCCGACTTCATGGGTTCCTTAATTGCTTAGTTCCCTACAGATCAGATAGATTTTCATTCCAATGTCAAAGTGGATCTGCACTCAGACAATGAAGATTGACTATGTTATAAGGAACATCTAGAAATGTTAACTGTGCCAAAGCAGCACCCTAAAAGATTTACCTTTCGAATTCCTGAAAAATAGCCACGCACTTCTTGTTCCTAGGCACTTTCTATACGGCTTCATCTGAAGTGTGAGATCATCTAAGGTACTGCTGCCTCTGACTGCTATGTCAACGAGAATTGGAGTGAGATTTGGTGATGTCACTACTGTGCTGCCCACTTTTCTCCTTGCTGGAGAGAAAGCTGTACCTAAGGACCAGCAGTGCAAGGATCTACGCGCTTTTGTTTCATCCATTCTGTGAACCTGTAATACTTTCACTTCTCCTGTTGCTATTTAAATTTTATCCCACCAGTGAATAGATCACCAGTCATCAAAGAGCAGCGCTGACATAGGGAAGCAAAGCCCTGCCTTTATCAAGATGGCCACCTCTCCACAAAGACACAGTGCAGAACACGGCAAATAGAGAAGGTGTTTTACCTAATGGGGGCACAATAAAACCTAACCAATCCAAAAGTTGAATTTAGATCAGGGCCGGATTAACATAGAGGCTACTGAAGCGACAGCTCCAGACCCACCACTGGAAATAGGCCTGACTGGGCTGGGTCGCCTCAGTATGCCCGATAGCAATCCGGGCCGGCCGGGCTGAACACAATCAGGCAGAGGCGCCGGTGGCTCTCTAATCAGGCAATCAGGCCTAATTAGAGAGTCACCTCGGTTGCTTCCTGTCCGACCAACCGACAGCATCAGGCCCATGAAGCTCTTAATCCGGCCATGATTTAGATACATTATACT